GGCTTCATCGCCCTCATATCCCCCCCTGTACCCACTCCAGCAGGGATGCCTCCTGGCAAAGGACAGATGACCCCGCTGCTGCACACCCCAAAAGCCTCAGCCATCCCTCAGGGCACCCATGGCCCCTCCTTGGGGGGCTGCGCTCGGCCCCCGAGGGGTCCCGGCTCACCCCAGGGTTGCAGCAAGAAGAGGAGCCGTTTTTCGGTTCATGGAGCGTCGGATGCTGCTGGAGCAGAAAGGGCTGCTGAGCCCTCGCAGGTGCCTGGACAGCCAGACCCCTGCGGCAGAGGTGGAGGCATGCAGGACGCTCACCAAGGCAGATGGCACCATGGCATCCCGCTGCAGGAAGGTCCCCAAACCCAAAAAGGTCACCTCATCCTTGTCACCATCCGCCTCTCCAGACAGCATAGCCAGGCACCACTCCGTGCTGCTGTCCCAGGGGAATGGCACTTCCAAGGGGGTCCGGATGTCCTCCCCACTCCCGCGCCCAGGCAAGTATGTGGCCATTGACTGCGAGATGGTGGGCACAGGTCCTCAGGGCAGGCTGAGTGAGCTGGCACGGTGCTCCGTGGTGAATTATGAGGGGGATGTAATCTACGACAAGTATGTCCGGCCTGAGCTGCCCATTGTGGACTACCGGACGCGCTGGAGTGGCATCACCAAGCGGCACATGAAGAGTGCGATTCCCTTCAAGGCTGCCCAGGCAGAGGTGAGAAAAAAGAGGGGGGGAAAAAAAGGAAAAAAAGTTGTGTTACTTGCCAGGCATACACTGAGATATCAGGCAGCCTGTGCTGACCTGCTCTGTTCTGGGAACCCAAAAACTAGAACTGAAGGAACTGGATTTAGCACAAAATAGTTTATGCTTGACCAGTGTTTCTTTTGCTGCTCTGCCTGTCTAACCCTTTCTCATGCTTCCAGATCCTGAAGATCTTGAAAGACAAGATCGTGGTAGGACACGCCATCCACCATGACTTCCAAGCCCTGAAGTACTTCCACCCAAAGGACAAGACCCGAGACACCAGCCGGATCCCCGTGCTGAACCAGAGGGCAGGGCTGCCTAGCAAGGCCAATGTCTCACTCAAGAGCTTGGCCAGGCACCTGCTCCAGAAAAAAATTCAGGTAAGCACCAGGAATCTTATGGGGAGCAGTTCCTGGGTTTGTTATGAGCCTGTATGGTCAGCCTGCTCCCTCCATCTCCCTGCGTGCTCTCTGTGAGACTGAGGTGAACCTTGTTCATCCTGTGCTTCCAGCTATGATCAAGCTGGAGGAGCCCAGGGCCTCCCCAGCTGAACATTAAGCATCTTAGTAAAGCAGGGACAGGACCTGTGCCACCCAGAAAGTCCTTGAGAGATTCCTGCATCTCCTTGGCTGCTTTGAACCTTTGCTGCCTCCAAAACCCCTCCACTTGTGTCCTTCTGAGCAAGCAGACGTGACCTGTAGGACTTTTGCTCCCCGCTCCGTGTCTAACGAGGCTTTTCTCCCTTGGCTCAGGTGGGCAGCAAAGGACACTCATCGGTGGAGGATGCTCAGACGGCCATGGAGCTGTACAGACTGGTGGAGGTGCAGTGGGAGACGGAGCTGGCCCGCAGCCTGCCCGCCCGGCCCCCCAGCCCTGTCACAGACCCCACCGCAGACAGCAGCCAGTACATGGATGACCGGTACTGGCCCACAGACCTGATGGCAAGCAGCCTGTGATGGGGGACAGCATCTCCTCCACATGTCTTGGGCCATCCTGGTGCCTTCAGCTATTAAAGGTGGAGACAGCTGCTGACCTCCTTCCCTGGGCCCCACGGGCTCTGTCTGGCACCCAACTCTGCTGCCAGCAGCAACGCAGCGGGGTTGGACACCCCCAGCCCCACTCAGGGACAGAGAAATGGTGATACTTGGACACCAGCAATCTCCCAAAACCACAATCTGCAGCCTCTTGCTGTTGCACAGCAATAAGCGCTGCGGGTGTGCCGTGTTCATCTGTCACTTGGTGCTTAGGGACAGGCAGGGTCCTGGAGCCAGCCGGCGGAGCCCCTGTGGACACGCAATGGCTGCAGTGGTTGCCTAGGGCTGCCAGGGCACCTCTGGGAAAGGGATAACCCCATGGTGGGCAAGTGGCAGGTCTTCCTTTGGGAGGACTGAGGTGTCTTGCTGATGTCCAAAGGCTGTGAACCATCTGGGGCTGGTTCAGCAAGTTTCCTCCTTGCTTTCTTTGCACAATGAAGCCTGAAAAGAAAGTCTGGGTCTAATCAGTGTCCAGCCTGGACAAGAGCATAGGATGCACTTCATTTTGAATAGACTATTCACATAATTGTCCAATTCCTAAATTAAAGTGTTCTGGCTAAACCCTTGTGTACGTCCTGCATAATCTGATTTGGCAGCTCTCTGGAAGGGAGAGGATGGGGGTGAGGTTGGCAAATGGCTGCCTGTGTGCTCTGGGCTTAAAACCCACCTGCAACAAGAAAAGTTGCTTGGAGGGGCCTGATGATGGCTTGGAGCAAGCAGTTCGTTGGGGTTCAGGCTGGTCTCCACCATGCTGGAGACATCCCTGTGAAGGCAGGAGAAATGAGATGGACTCAGCCAGAGCCCTGTGGTCCAGCACGTCCAGCTGGTTGGAGAAAGCCCAGTGCAAGAAAAAGCGTCCTGCTGTGTCACTCCTCACCAGCTGGGCTCTCCCAGCGTGGGGAGCTCCCTGTATTAGTGGGATTTGCCCACCTCCCACATCAGCCTCCCTGTGCAGAGGGTCTGCGAGCAAGAGCTGGAGAGGAAGAACAATGCTCAGCTGCAGTGTGAGATGGGCTGACAGTCACCTGCTGCTTCATGAGTAGCATATGTAGGTACCATTGGCTGCACAGATGTACCCCCAGCTGGGTGTGTGAGCACCAGAGTGGGGTTTGAGGCTGGACACAAGGAGTCACACACTTCCCCAGGGAACTGAATGGCCATACTTGCATAAAAATCCTATTTTTTTTGCTGGGTACCTCAAGGTTGAGGCCACTGCTTTAGCACCGGGGTCCACCATTCCCAATTGATATGGGTCTAGAGGGCTGCTAGCAACCCAGGGGCTTTCAGGAGCCTGGCCACAGGACTGAAATGAAGTGCACGCCACCTGCAGCCTGGCTAGATGGATCCTAGGCTTTTCGAAGCACAGAGGAGGGAAGGAGAGCTCAGCCCCAGCCTTGGGAATCTGCCAAGGGAGTGGTGACGAAGGAACACCTGACGCACACATTAGTGCCATTACAAGAGCATCTTGCACTTCCCACCTTAACTCCTTGCTGCCCAGCAGAGAAGGCCACAGGCAGGTCAGAAAGGCTTTAAAACATGTAGGATGTGTCCAGAAAGCTCTGGCTTCCTGTGCCAAGCACAACTGTTCTTCAACAGAAATAATAATAGCCTGGGCTGCACCATGAGCATGTGGTCTAGGCACTCTCCATCAGATCTGTTAGGAAGCGTGGCCCCACTGTAGGTCTTTAAATCCTGCTCATGCCAACTTGCCCCAGGCATGTCCCTGATGAAACAAGCTGTAAACCACCACTGGCACCCTCTGTGCAAGCCTCAGGGTGCAGCTTAGCTGAGCCCTGGTGCAATGCTGTGCAGTATCAGCAGGACCTGAACCCCATGGAGGCACCTGGGAGGGGGCAGGAGGAGCACAGGCAGTACAGGTTTTTCGCTATTTCATCCTTTTTGCAGTTTCCACCTCTCCCAGGGTGGTGGGAGGGATGTGGGCTTGTGGGGAACTTGCACAGGACGTCCAGGCTTGTCTCCCTGAGCCCCAAACTTGTCCCCTCAGCCCACTCTGTCTTGCCACCCCATGGCATTGACTTGCATCCAGCCATCATGTGGTTTAGGGTGAGACAAGAGTATGTCGGGGTGAGGCTGGAGAAAGCTGCAAAAGGAGGGGGAAGGCCGCGAGGCTTTA